CCAACGGTTCCTTGAAAATTTGTACGAACGTCACCTTTACGACTGCCTGTGGGAGATTATTCCACTGTTCTATAACCCAGTGCGTGAAAATTTCAGAGAGCAAGTTTAGCTTGGACATGTTCGTGCACAAATTCATTGCGTGTCCATGGAGATGAGACATGAGGTGCCACTGGAGCACATTCTCAAAGCGCAATCCTTTGTTCAGGCTCGTGTGTTATTTTGTAAACTGAGATTAAATCACCTCTTTGCTGCCCGTAATACAGAGGAAATAATTTAAGGCATTCCAATATTTAAATATAAGACTGGTTTCTTAAACTTCTTTTTACTTTGTCAGACGACGCTGCACTTTCTCGATGCATATGACAGAAGTATGGTTAGTGGTGGTCTTGTATACACGAAGCCCCTGGTTTTTATTTAAGGGGAACCGATAGAATGGGGGTTCTATGGGTGGGGAAAACGGATGGAGAGAAAAGAACTTTGTAAAAATAAGTACAAAAAGTCCTAAAATTTTGTTAAAATAGTTTAATGCGACGGCGTTGGGCGCGTAAGTATAAAAAAGTTAAGAAAATAAAATCGACCTCGATTCGACCTAGAGTCGACGTCGACAAAACTGAAAATGTGGATTTTTATGCCGAAAACTCCCCTTTTTCCAAAACCCAGTAATAGTGGACTTTTTGAAGACTTTTTGTAATACTAAGCGTTTACTATTAATAAGAGAAAAATCTGGTAAAATATATTACTGTATAAATGTACAGCAGACGCCGTTGATCATGCAATATCTCGACATATGCGAAAGACGAATACTCTTTCGCTAATCGGAATTGACTCCAGTTGTGATACCGATTATCATGTAGTTTATTCTGAAGTCATTTCAGTCAGGATAGGATGCCGGCTTTTTAACGAGTTTCGTTTCGACTCCAAGCAAAACGTATCTATTGTAAAAACTGACTATTTTAGTAGTATGCCTTTTTATCATTGATTTTGACTGCCTTTATAAATTTAAATAT